TGGTGAGAGAAGAAGCTAGGCAGCATAAACCAATTTATTATATCAGCAGCGTGCTGCACGGAGCAGAGCTAAGGTATCCTATAGCTGAGAAAGCAGCATTAGCAGTCGTCACTTCGGCCAGGAAGTTGAGGCCATATTTCAAGTCACACCCAATTATTGTTCTCACCGATCAACCTCTCAGATAGATTCTGCAGAAACCAGAGTGCTCTGGAAGATTAATTAAGTGGGCAGTAGAACTGGGAGAGTTTGAGATAACATTTCAGCAGAGATCGGCCATCTGAGCTCAAGCATTAGCAGATTTTATTGTCGAATGCACCCCATGTCCTTCAACCTCTAATTCAGAGCCCAACGACTGGACCTTATATGTTGACGGAGCATCTAGTAGCAAGGGTTCAGGGGCTGGCGCTCTCTTGATTGGTCCAGAGGGATACCGAAGCGAACATGCCCTGAAGTTCAATTTTGATGCGACAAATAACATGGCTGAGTATGAAGCTCTGCTACTTGGTCTACAGCTAGCATTGGAGTTGAAAATCAGTGTAATTCAAGTATACAGCGACTCCCAGTTGGTGGTAAACCAAATCAACTCAATCTGCGAAGTCGTTGATCCTGTGATGGCGAAGTATGTAGCCTTGGTAACCGAGCTGAAGTGCAAATTCCAGAAATTCTATCTGAGTAAAATTCCCCGAGCTGAGAATGAACAAGCAGATTTACTCTCCAAGTTTGCCTCTGACAGCTCTTTAAGTTCCAGATCCGTTTTTGTGGAGGTCTTAGATGAACCAAGCTTCATGAAGCCTCGGATGATGGAGATTAGCACAAGCCCTGACACATCGAGCTGGACTGACTCAATTATCTCCTTTTTGCGAGATGGAATAGTACCTGAGGACAGGCAGGAGGCAACGAAGTTGAGGAAGAAAGTATCTCGGTATACACTTGTTGATGGGGTCCTCTATAAGAGATCTTTTTCACTCCCTCTTCTGCGATGTTTGAATCCCTACAAAGCCAAGTATGCACTTCGAGAGAGGTACATGAAGGTGTCTGTGGGAGCCACGTCGGTGCTAGAACTCTGGCGCACAAAGTCTTAAGGTAGGGATATTACTGGCCAAACATGTATAAGGATGCCACTCACTTTGTTCAGAAATGTCCGAGGTGCCAATTCTTTGCACATCTGACTCACCAACCTGCAAAAGAACTCACGAACTTGGTAGCACCATGGCCATTTGCACAGTGGGGACTAGATCTTTTAGGTCCATTCGTAAAAGGGGTTGGTGGTGTAACCCATCTGGTCGTTGGTGTGGATTATTTCACAAAGTGGGTTGAAGCTTGGCCTTTATTTAGTCTTACCTCCAAGAAGGTCGAAGATTTCGTCTTTAGCTCGATCATCTGCAGATATGGAATCCCGAATCAAATTGTGACTGATAATGGAACTCAATTCAATTGCTCCTCATTCCGAGATTTCTGTTCCAGTTATGGGATCAAGTTACAGTTCACCTCCGTTTACCATCTGGAGTCCAATGGCATGGTGGAATCTGTTAACAAATGCATTTTGGAAGGTATAAGGCCAAGATTGGAGCAGCATAAGGCCAAGTGGGTAGATGAGCTCAACAACGTCCTCTGGGCATACAGAACCATGAGCCGAACTGCCACAGGTACTATTTTAAACTGAGTTTATTTGATCAATTTCTATAGTATTTTACTCCTTCTGTTACGCTTCATCTTAGAACAAATATGCATAATGCATAAAGCGCATTCTAAAGTTATAATTAACTGAAATAGGTGAAATACCCTACCACCTGGCCTTTGGTACCGAAGCAGTCATTCCTGTTGAAATAGGAGTCCCAAGCTTCCGAGTCACCCATTTCGATGAAGGATGAAATGGATAACTGCTTCAGGAAAACCTTGATCTGCTTGCTGAAGTCAGAGAAGAAGCTCGGCTTCGAACTCTTGTATACAAGCAGAAACTAGCCAACTTTTATAATAAACGGGTCCACCCTCACACATTCAAAGTAGGAGACCTTGTTCTCAGAAAAGTTGGCCTAACAGGGTTTGAAACTCATTTTGGCAAACTCGCCCCAAATTGGGAAGGCCCTTATACCGTGGCCGAGGTGCCACATCCTGGTGCCTATGTCCTCCAAGACGCTGAAGGAAAGAGAGTTCCTAGAGTCTGGAATGTCAATAGCTTGAAGAAATTTTACCCCTAATAGAATTCTTTCAAGAGATCTATGTCTTACAGTTCTTATTTCATGTTTGTTGAGATTCATTTTACCTCTTATTTTATGTATCTGAGGTCAATCAGTTCATCCATTCCTTGAACCTCACTTCTGTTAATAAATGTCACTTCACATATGAAGTGCTTTATTCCCTCTCAATTCATTTACAGTGATGTACTTGTTCTTAACTCACTTGAAGAAGGTTCTTTCTTTGTAGCTCGTTTCTGAAGTGATTAACTTCTTTTTATTAACTTTCTTTTTAAAGTAGTCTCAGTTCTTCTATCAATATACAATAACAAACAGGCAAACACAAATAAACACATAATTTCAAGAATAAACTTTCATTCAAAATAATATAAGTATTACAAACTGTTTAAATGTCTTTACAAAAAATTAAAAAACAAACAAAATTATTTTTCTTGTGGGAAAGGTAGCTCCGCTGGCTCCTGCTCAGCTGGCGAAGGTGGCTGTGTTGGCTGCTGTTGGTTTGGCAGAAGAGGCCGCTCATCGTCAGAGGGAACTGGATGAATCTCCACTTCTAGAATTGGTTGGCACTTGTCCACTTCTGCTCCCCCCGCTCCTGCCTCCATCTTGTCTTCCTCTACCTCTGCCCCTTCTTCCTCCACTGCCACTAACTCGAAGTCGAACTGTGGAGGGAAAACAGCACGTCCGTTTGCATCATCCTCCCACCTCAGTTTGATCTGAGGACGGAGGTCTGCTGATATTCTCTCACCATCTTCCTCCACTCCTTCTTCTTGCTCTCCGAAGGTGATCTTCGTAATATCCACTTTGGGATATTCTGCCTTCACCTTCTTCCTGCAGTCCGTGAATGCAATGATGGCAGTAGGTAGCCGGTATAAGTTGACGATGTTGTCAAACGAGCTGGAGCTGATGAAGTTGCTGATGTGCTCCTTCATCCAATTGTGCACCAAGGTCTGCACATTCCCCTTCAGCTCCAAGAAAGCCTCCTTCGTCAGCTTTAGTTATTGCGCCTGAGCCTCACGCTCGCTTTCAGAGATCTTTCGTTTGCTCTCTTCAAAGCCGAGCTTGGTGCTCAGGGAAGACCTCTCCTGCTCCAGCAGTTGGAACCACCTCGTCCAACGACTCTTGCAGATCTTTATTTTTCTTCTCCAGCTCATCCTTCTCCTTCTGCAGCTGGTCACACTGCCTCTGCAAGAGTGCGCGCTCCCTCGTACTCTCCCTGAACTGCTGGGCTAGACCATTCACCCAACTCGTGCTCTGCAAATCAAAGCAGAAGTTCAAAGAGAAAGAAGAGAAGAAGAAACAGAATAAATAAACAGCATCACTAATTTAATGTACCTCAAGAACTTGCTTCACAACAGATGCTCCTCCGTACCTCAGAGCCTCCTCCCGCGCGTTGCGTTTGTCCATTTCGGGGAAGGTGCTGTTGATAAACCACCTAGCCCCCATATTTACAGTTGGCACACTAATCCCCTGAGCTCGGCAATAAAGTAAAAAACATATTATTACCCTCATTGCGTTGGGGACCAACTGTGTCAACCCTATGTTGTAATCTAGCAATAAACCTATTAGCAACTCAGGAAGTGGAAACCTAAGTCCCGCTATCAAATAGTGGGAATACACAGGCATCCAGTGATCCCGAGGAGTAGAGCACGCCCTCTCCTCTACTCCAGCTGGCCTAACTAACACTCGGGAAGAGATCTCGTACGTTTCTACTAAGTGACCCAGGCTATCCCTGGTCCTTAGTTCAGATCGGTACTGCTTCACCTCCTCCACTATCTTTGCATTCCCATCATAATCTCTCTCCCCTCTACCCTCTACTTCTACTACCGTGATGGGTATGCTATCTCCCTCAACCCCTACCACCTCGTTCCCCCCAACCTCCACCACCTCATCCCCTCTCATCCCCTCCACCGTCTTCTCCAAACTAGATGGGGATGGACTACTCTCCGAGTCCATGCTCCCATAGTCTAAAGGCATCACCTCACTCCCAATCACACTTTCTGTTCCTTCTGA